GCAGCAGTCTACCTAAAACTTGAAACCGTACACATTCTGTTAGTTTCTGCTGTATCAGTGAGTAAAGAGGAGAGTGAGCTAAAGAAATGAAAGCATTTTGACTTATTACTTTTAAAGATGCTACCCTCAGTGCTTCCTGTCATCTGAAATAGTTAAATTAATATTTAAAAAAAAAAAAAAGAAACCCTGCAGCAGTTCTAACATGCTCATCAGGTACAAAACTCTGCCCTACGTTTACCCTCCAGGTGCTTTTCATCTTCAAAAAGTGTCCGGTGCATAAGAAACGGATGATGAAGTCAATTATGTTTTTATGCCCTTCAGGGAAATAGAAACGATCACTTTCTTGGCTGTGATCTGTAGTTCCTGAGAAATGTAAACAGAGAATTGAAGATTCAGAAATCAGCCAGTACTGACTAACTAATAGCCCAGCCCATTGCTAAATATTGGAGTAGAGGGTGGAGTGGGGAGAGAGTTTATATTTATATAATATAATATAATTATATACATATATATAATGACATATGTATAATTGTTAGAGCAGGCAGAGAGCTAGATATGAGCAGAGAAAGGGGAGCACAGACCAAATGGCAGGGATTGGGCAGAAAGGAGGGGCACATGCCAAATGCAGGAAAACATACATCATGGAAGAACCGGGGTCTCTGGGCAGAGAAAGAAAAGCAGGAACCTTTGGGCCGATATGGGGCCACACCTTTTGGCCTGGAGACCAATAAGGAAATGTCAGAAAGGGCAGGAGTTTCCAGTGTCCAAATGTAAGCTTTTGCTCATTATGCCCTCATTTCAATAAAATTAGCCTTGCAGGTCAGAAGTACCCATCATGCACGGACGCCATGACACCTCCGATCCAGACTAAATAAGGATAAAAGGCCCTCCTCCCTTTGGGAAGGTGGAGTTGGGATGATGATCAGGGAATATGACCCCAAGCCCTTTCCTCCCCAATGAATATTCCACCCATTCATTTCTACACGCTGTGTAACCAACTTACCAAAGAAACTCAGGGCAGCCGCCCACCTGAGCCTGCCCGCTCTCCCCTTGAGAGTGTACAGTCCATCCTTTAATAAATCCTCACTTTACTTTTCTTAACCTCTATGTCTTGTCCCTGAATTCTTTCTGGGATGGGACAAGAACCCGGAACACTGGTTGCACCCACTGACAACATAATCTGCAAGGTGCTTTACCATTTAATTCCCAGCATCAGTACCATTTTCCAATGCCTGTACGTCCAATGTGATAACTGATTATATAGCATAGCATGCCTGACTTTAAAGCCAAAAACAAGCAGAACTTTCTTGATACCAGAGTAGAATTTCTAATACACATAGGAGTAGATGACTGCATTGTCTCTAGCTCATACTCATTCAAGCAGTCCACACATTTTATTGAGCACCTATTATGTAACAACCACTAGGCAGATAGCAGTGACTCAATATTCCACTGAGGGAATGCAGATAGCAAAGAAATGAGCAAATAAGATAAATGTAATGTCATGAATGCTGTGAAAAACAATCTGAACCAGGGAGAAGTGATAGAGAACATGGTGGAAGGTGAGCATTTCTACACAGAAAAGACCTTTTTAATATGATAATATTTGACTAGGGACGTGATTGAGATGATGCAGGAAGTCGTAGGGATACGTGGGAGAAAAGCGGGCATCGGAAACTGTGAGGAATCCCTAAACTAACAGCCTGTTTAACAGCAGGAAGACCCGTAGGTTGGCTTCTACGTAAGCATTTCTCAGAACCGGGTGTTAATGAGAATTTGACAGAAGGGAGTTTCAAGGTTAACGTCTCTGGTGGAAACTTGCAGTGGGGATGAGCTCCAGGATGACGAGCATTTCATGTTCTGGATCATCAGCCAGGTGGAGCCAGACAGTCAGCCAAAGTGAGGGTCCTCTTTGGAAAATGAAAGAGTGAGGGTTAGGTGGGCCCAGAGATCACTGGTGCTCACACGGGAGCCCGGCTAGAACCACCGATAAAAACCCGTTGAATTCTGTGCGCCTCTGTCAAAATGTTGAGTTTGATTTGAAAGGCAGTCTCTGACCAACAACAACAACAACAAAAAAATAGAGGACCTGTTGTCTGTTTTAGGCACTTCTAGGCATTAACAAAACTGTGTAATTATATTACAGATGACAATGAAGGTGATTTTTATTTTTAATTACAGTATCAGGGGACATGTATCTAGGACATTGAAAAAATGTCACATCATTAAGGTAAAAAAGAAAGAGGAGGCACAAACTACATTTGTGTTTTATGCCATTAGAAATAGTCTCTCTAATAAGGCTGACATCCAACATCATAACGGTTCCTGACCTTCAGACAGGTGCTAAGACGCCCCAAGAGCATCAGTAACTGGAGCCATTTGAGTTGCGACATAACTGATTCCTAAGCAAAGCCCAAAGAAGGACGAATAAAAGCTGCAAGCAATCTTATATTGTTCATGAAATATTTTTCTCCAAGGTGATAGAAAATTCATCAATATAAAGGATGATCCTGGCCTGAAGCCTACCTATTCTGGGGCAGCAAATATGTGTGTGAGAAACCCAGGTTTGTAATCTTTTTTTATCCAGAGAAAACAGTCACAGAATGGGGTGAGTAATAGCTCAGGAGTAGAGCACATGCTTAGCATGCACGGGGTCCTGTCTCATGGGGGAAAATCTCCAGTATCTCTATTAAAAAATGAATTTAAAAAGAAAAAGGAAGCAGAGCTGAGAAGCAGGGACTGAGAGAAAGGACTATAAACAGAACAGTAGATATCTCCCTCCTTGCACAAAGCTCAAGCAGGCAGGCATTTATCCCTAGCCCAAAAAGGGGGGCATTTTCCTAAAAAAAAAAAAAAGGAGAAAAGAGACATGGAGATTGGATGTTAATTATGAGCTTACAAACAAAAGCCGTTCTATGAAAAACTGTGCAATCTTAAATTATAAATTTCATGATGAAATAAAAAAAAATATTGTATGAAATTAAATGGAAACAATCACTTGGCCGACCAATAAAGAAGAAAAGCTTAAATACCATCTGCCAACTCTGGACCGTATTTAGTGGAACCCTTCAGTAAGGTGGGGGCACCCTCTGTTTTCTCCTGGGATCTATAGAATGAGACGAGGGAGGGGGGACAAAGAACACCTTCTAAAAACAATTTGTCTACTTTGATTAGATTTCAATATCTAATTTCTTTTAGCAAAGATTAACTGATTTTGTCTGGATTTTCACTGAAGGTTGATTAAAGCAGGATTTCTCTAGGTGCCAATAGATTCTATGTCGCTGAATCCTCACCAGGAAGAGCTGTTAAGCTGCAGGTAATCCTCAGGGTTTTCAATCTGCATTCCTGCTGTGCTGTTTGGGGATTCTGTTCGCACTTTACCATACCTTCCGTTGTTCACAAGACCTTCACTTGACCTTCAGCAAAGCATCCTCCAGGGAGATGGTGGTGGCTTGGAGTCACAGTCACAGTGATCTGGAGGATGACTTGGCCCCTAAGGTACTGACCACACCCCCGCAAGCTGTGCCCCAGGGTGGCTAAGCCACCTGAGCAGGACAGGTATGGCCCTGTCCCAGAGGCAGGTACGTGATTTTACACACAATTTATGTGGAAAGATGGGAAAGATCAGCTCTTCTCATATCACGTTTTTATTGGAAGGAGCTAGTTCTGTCTCCCACTGTTGGCTCAGAGCAGCCTGGAAGTTACCCAAGGCTTCAAAGTTACTGCTTTCTCAGTCAAGGGGCCCCCCTGTTGGTGCCAGAGGGGGCCATCGTCCAGGGAGTAATGTCTTTACAGGCATTGATCGCTCTGCTATCACCTGAACTGAGCAAACGCTCCATGCCCTCCTGCTTGGTGCCGGGCACTGTCTTTGGCACATAGGTTGGGGGTGAGGGGTGAAGCCCTCTGATCTGCAGATAGTGTGTAATCCGTGCTTACCATTCAGTCAGCAAGCACTTACCGAGCTCTGGCTGTGTACAGAGCACTTCCCCACATGTTCATAGTAAGTTACGCATCAATTCTCACAACAATCCCATGCGGTGGGTATTTAGCATCTTATTATTATGATGACATCCGTTTCCCCAATGAGACGATTTGGATACAGAGGAGTTAAGTGATTGTTCTGGGGTCCTATAACCAGCCTTCAGACTCCAGATTCAATGACTTCCATCACCCCATATCTGCTTATTCTGCTCAGTTACGAAGAAATCTCCCTCTTTCTCTATGACCTTGCTGCCCCAAGTGTACTCTGTGGACCCCATTGCAGCATCACCCAGGAGCTTGCTAGAAATGCAGACTCTTGGGCCCCACCCAGACCTACTGAACCAGACCCTGCATCCTAACAGGACCCCAGACAGTCTGTCTGCGCACTGAGATCTGAGCAGCACTGCCCCAGGAACCGCCGAGGCGGCGGAGAGCGGCTCCTGCTACAGAACCCCTCTGGCTCCAGTCTCTGCAGGAGGAAGCTCTGCAGAGGGAAAACTAATGTGACGCCATAAATTCTGGTTGGTGAGAGCCTCACGGCTTATTACCAGGCAATTTCGCCTAGAAGGCAGTTTCCCATCACAGACATAGAAAAAAGAAAAATATTTCCCATACAGACCTTATATTCACGATTCAGTTTAGCAAGTTCATCACTGTCTGCGTTTTGCCAGGCCCTGTGCGAGGGGCAGGTCTTAGTGATTCCCCTGGGGAGTGGCTGACTGTGCTCCCTGCCTTTGTGATTCAGCCAATTCCTGGTTTTAAAGCTGCATGTTTATAATAAAATTGCATCTGTACTTCTCTTAATGTTGCTTTCTTGTCGAGCCATTTGTTCAGTCAACAAATATTTAAAGAGTATGCATGAAATACTGTAGGAGTCCACTATGTTTACATACTCAGCTTTTACACTGAAGCATCGCCTGAAGTAATTCTTCAATGGGCATATTTTTTAAAATAAAGTTTTGTTATTACTTTTAAAGTACTGGTAAATTTATCATGAATTTTATGGCTAATAGATGTCTTCCAATATAAGTATTTAAAAACTTTTACCAATATTTTCCTTGGAAATCTGTCCCAAGGCGGAGCAGACGTAGAAAACAAAAGCTGAAAATTCCCAGGATTTACTGTCTAATATAACGTGTGTGCTTTTCAAAATCAACAGAAAAAAAAAAAAGGAAAGACAGCCATTTGATAGTATAGATTTAACAACGCTTAATTTATTTGATTTTATCCTAGGACTGACCTTTTACATAACAACTCTATTAGAGGACCAGGCAGTAAACACAGATCATGAATTTAAATATTTCAGGTCTCCCTTTCACATTCATTTTCCAAATCATAAAATGTTATCAAAGTCATGCACTGGGAACTGCTTTTTCACAGGAAGCTCTACATCTAATAGTCCCCTGAGGGCCTGACCCAACCACAAAGGAAGACAGCAGTGACTCATCACATAACTTAATTTGGTATATGGGTTAGTCAGAGTTGTCCAGAGAAACAAACCAAAGAAGCCTGTATGTATACATAAAGGAAGAGAATTGGCTCACTTGATTATAAGGCTGCCAAGTCCAAAATCTGCAGAGTATTTGGACTTACTATCTCTAGTCAACCTTCTACTGAAGATGCTAGCCAGAGCAATTAGTCAAGAAAATGAAATAGAACACATTTTCTACACTAAACTGACATAATCTTGTACATCGAAAATCTTAAGGAATACAGTAAAAAAAACCAAAAAAAAAACAACCTATTAGAACTAGTAAGTGAGTTCAGCAAGTTTGCAGGATACCAAAGTCAAAATACAGAAATCAATTGTATTCTTACACAGTAGCAATGAGCAAACCTGAAAATGACATTAAGGAAACAATACCACTTAAAATGGCATGAAGAAGGATACAAGGAATAAAGACAACAAAAGAAGTGCTAAACTTACGCTCTGACAATTCCAAAACATTGTTGAAAAATTTGTAGGAGACCTAAATAATTGAATAGATATTCCATGTTCATGGATCAGAGGACTCAGTTTTGTTAAGATGAGAGTACTCTCCAAACTGATCTACAGTTAGTGCAGACCCTAGCAAAATTTCAGCTGAATTCTTTGCAGAGAATGACAAACTGATCTTAAAATTCATATGAAAATTCAAGAGACCCAAAGTAGCCAAAATAATTATAAACAGGAAGAACAAAGCTGAAGAACTCAGACTTCCCAATCTCAAAACTTACTTCAAAGCAATAGTAATCATTCTGGTGTGGTACTGGCAAAATGATAACTGTATGGATCGATGGAATAGAATAAACCTGGGAATCTGGAAATAAACCTTCATGTTACAGTTAATTGATTTTCCACAGGTGCTAAGACAAGTAAATGGGGAAAGACCCATCTTTTCAGCAAATGGTGCTTGAACAACTGGAAAGCCACACTCAGAGGAATGAAGTTGGACACTTACCTCACACTATATATAAAAACTAACTCGTAATGGATCAAAGACTTAAATGTAAAAGTTAAAACAACGGATGGTCTCCAACTCACGATGATTCGACTTAATGATTTTTTTTATTTTACAAGGATGAGAAAGTGAAAGCACATTCAGTTGAAACATACTTTGAATTTTGAATTTGGATCTCTTCCTGAGCTTGTGATAAGTGATGCGATGTTCTCCTGTGATGCTGAGCAGGACAGCGTGGCGTAGCTCCCAGTCAGCCACAGATCGCAAGGGCAAACCATTCTGTACCCAGACAGCCATTCTGTGTTCACCCTCAGTACAGAATTCAATACGTTTTGTGAGATTTTTTTTTAACACTTTATTATTAAATAGGCTTTGTGTTAGGATATTTCACACAACTGTAGGCTGATATAAGGGTTGTGAGCAACTTTAAGGTAGGCTAGGTTAAGCTATGATGTTTGGTAGGTTATATGTATTAAAGGCATTTTCAACTTACGATATTTTCAACTTACAATGGGTTTATTGGGACATAACCTCATCATAAATCAAGGAAGATCTGTACAAAACTCTAAAGAAATCATAGGTATACATTTTTATAATCTTGGATGTGGCAATGGTTTCTTAGTCATGACACCAAAAGCATAAGTACCAAAGAAAATATGGGTAAATTGGACTTCATCAAAATTAAAACTTTTATGCTTTAAAGAATAACTTGTTAAGAAAGTGAAAGACAACTAAGATTATGAAAGAATATTTTTGCAATACATACATCTGACAAGGGACTTGTATCTGGCATATATAAAGATCTCTTACAGCTCAATGAAAATAGACAAAGAACCCAATTAAAAATGGGCAAGGGATCCGAACAGCTACTTTTCCAGAAAAGATATACAAATGGCCAATAAGCCCATGAAAGGATGCCCAACATCATAAGTCAACAAGGAAATGCAAATCAAAACCATAAGAAGATACCAGTTCATACCCACTAGGATGCTTACACTGAAAAAGTCAGACACCTCACCTCAAGTTGAGATTTTCCCACCCTCCATCCCCTTGGCAACCACAAGTTTGTATTCTATGTCTGTGAGTCTATTTCTGTTTTATATTTATGCTTTGTTTGTTTGTTTTAGATTCCACATATGAGCGATCTCAAATGGTATTTTTCTTTCTCTTTCTGGCTTACTTCACTTAGAATGACATTCTCCAGGAGCATCCATGTTGCTGCAAATGGTGTTATGTTGTCAGTTTTTATGGCTGAGTAGTAGTCCATTGTATAAATATACCACCTCTTCTTTATCCAGTCATCTATTGATGGACATTTAAGCTGTTTCCATGTCTTGGCTATTGTAAATAGTGCTGCTATGAACATTGGGGTGCAGGTGTCATCCTGAAGTAGGGTCCCTTCTGGATATATGCCCAGCAGCAGGATTCCAGGGCCATACGGTAAGTCTATTCCTAGTCTTTTGAGGAATCATCATACTGTTTTCCACAGTGGCTGCACCAAACTGCATTCCCATCAGCAGTGTAGGAGGGTTCCCTTTTCTCCATAGCCTCTCCAGCATTTGTCATTTGTGGATTTTTGAATGATGGCCATTCTGACTGGTGTGAGGTGATACCTCATTGTAGTTTTGATTTGCATTTCTCTGAAAATTAGTGATATTTAGCATTTTTTCACATGCCTTTTGATCATTTGTATGTCTTCCTTGGAGAATTGCTTGTTTAGGTCTTTTGCCCATTTTTGGATTGGGTTGTTTGGTTGTTTCTTATTAAGTCATAAGAGCTGCTTATATATTCTGGAGATCAAGCCTTTGTCGGTTTCATTTGCAAAATTTTTCTCCCATTCCGTGGGTTGTCATTTTGCTTTACTTATGGTAAAAGTAGGCTGAGAAGGGATAGACGGGATTTCAAAATTGTAGAATAGATAAACAAGATTATACTGTACAGCACAGGGAAATATACACAAGATCTTATGGTAGCTCACAGAGAAAAAAATGTGACAATGTATATATATGTTCAAGTATAACTGAAAAAATGTGCTTTACACTGGAATTTGACACAACATTGTAAAATGATTATAAATCAATTAAAAATTTTTTTAAAAAAAAGTTGAGATTTTAATGCACTTCTCTCAACAGCTGACAGAGCAAGCACAAACACACACACAGTCAGAAAGAATATAACTAATCAAAGTAACACAGTAACAAATTTACGAAGCTGACATTTCAGAACACGGTTACCAACAATGACAGAAAACAGTCTCTTCAATTACACAATAGAACATTTGCTAAAACTGTCCATGTGCCAGACCACAATGCAAGTATCAACAAATTTTGAAAGAGTGACATCATTTAATATTTTTTCTGACAACAATGGGATTAAGGTAATTATCGTTAACTGGAGATCTCATAACTAGAAATCTCCAACTAATGAGAAATTCAGCATACACGTCTAAATTTCACAACCAATTCAGATAAGAATCTCACTGGGAATTAGCCAATGTTTTGCGATAAATAAAATAATTTGTAGAAATAACAATTGACATATTAACACTATTAAAGTGCAGCTAAAGGAGAACTTAGAGGGGATTTTAGCTTGAAATGCACATGCTAGAAAAGAAGAAAGACTGAAAATTGGTGATTTTAATTTCATCGCAGGAAAATAAAAAAGGTACAGCAAATCAAGTCCAAAGAAAGTTGACAGAAGGAAAGAATTAAAAATGCCTACATCCTAAAAACGTCGTGAGTATTAAAATAGAATGAACATAAAAGGTCTGGCTCAGATGTCAGAAACGTAGTTGAGGTACTCAAAGCATTCGCTGCATATTGTTAACACAGGGGCAAGAAAAACCAGAATATTCATCCCATTTCTCTTCACAGGCAGCATTTGCATTCGACAGTGTCTGTCTTTATTGTGACAGCCTCCTCCTTTTTTGGCGGGATGGGGGGGTTCAGCTAATGAAGCTTCTGGTGGAAATTTTAGGTGAGAACTGGTGGAGAGGAGGGAGGAGCAGGCAAAGCTAACGTTTACTGCGAGGTCCCGTGTGCCCAAAGCTCTGCTAAGCACACTGCTCCTATGTGTTTATGCCAGCCTTACAGGAACCCGGAGAGGTAGAGGTTAATGTGCACATTTAACAGATTCAGCCACTGAGGCTCCTGGAGGGGGACCGTGTAACCCGAGTCATACAGCTGGTGAGGGCAGAGCCGGGACTGAGTCAGCAATCTGCCTGAGCCAAAACCAGGCGCGTGGATTCAGTGGCATCATGAAAACCCTTATCTATGGGGTAAATGAATCCTGGCTAAACCAGGCTGTTCTCAGCAGCCTTCTCTTCCAGGTTCCAACCTGGGGACATTGTTTCTATGCTTTCCTTCAAATTATGGAAGAGCTTAGCATAAATATTTTGTGTGCTTTGAAGAGATGCTGGCTTGGGACTTGTTCGCCGTTCCCAGCCCACCTCCACCCACTCGGGGTGCAGAACTGGGTGCTACACGCAGGGGCAAAGTCATCACGGGGCAAGTATCCTGCTGCCGGGGTTCAGGGCAGTGACCTCATTGAGCAGATAAAGACCTTAAGAGCCAAAGAAACAAAAGAAGGGGAAGGGACTCAGGACCGTCCATCATTCTATCCCTCAGCTTTCAGCCGGGAGACAGGTGTAAAGGCCACCCGCACCACACAGGGCGGGCGCCCCGATTGCTCCCAAGTAGCTGCAGTCACCTGGTTCTGCACACCCCTGGGGGTTGGTGGGAGGCAGTGTGCAGGTGGTCTGCTGTCAATGCTAACTGTAGTGAATGTGGTTTCTGGGTCTTCACCACCACATAATATGAATCTGTCCTCAAGGCGGTTCTGTAAAGAGTCAAGCAAAAAGAGAAAAAAAAAAAGGGTAAATGCATATAAACGAGATGCTGTATTTCTACTGCATTGCCCAGAAATGCACTCAGTAAACTTGAATCTGAAGGAAGCTACACAAAATATGATCCAATTTTCCTCTTTGTGATTGAGAGGGTATATCCAAAATGCGTGTAGAGTCATAGAAAAATGGATGCTTCAGAAAGATCTTCTTTGTCAGACTATTCAGAATTTAATTTTCAAAATTGGGTATTTTAGAAAAGTGGTAATGTCTAATTCTATATATACTTTGCCTGTCAGAGAAAAGAAAACATTATAATCTTTTTCAATTGAGAGAGATGTTGTTTTGAGATTCAACAGAAACAATAACAAAAATCAACCGGGACATAGTAATTAAGGGAATTCCCAGCACAACAGGATGGCTGCGGCTAAGTGAATCACCAAAGCCCTTTATTTCTGCTACTGGCATTTCTTAAATCTTCCCCAAATGTCAGTAACTCTACAGAACAAGCAACTGCTTTCACTTTAAATAAATGTGTCAAAAACCTTAGACAGAAAGCGGAAAAGCTGATCTAACTTGATTAACAGGTCCTTAATTACTGAAAAACAAATGTGATAAAATTTTATTTGCTTTTATTAAACTTCTTGTCTTTATGGTAGAGCCAGTAATTGATGCAAATGGTTTTTTCCAACACGTAGGAAAGAAGCGTCACTGTTGCGACAAAGTCAAAATTCCTCCGAAGCATGAATATTCACTGGAAAGTTCAGATGGACATTAAATCCTCCTGAAGCTTGCAAATCTGAATTATTCGGCTGTAGGAAGACGCTGTGGCACCGTAACTGGAACAGTATTTCAATTACAATGCTCTTTGACCTTCCATTTCCTGAAAGATATTTCCATCATATGAAAAAGAATATGAAAACGAATATATGTATGTCATGCGTGACTGGGACATTGTGCTGCACACCAGGAACTGACACATTGTAACTGACTGTACTTCAATAAAAACAAACAAACAAACAAACACAATGGCCTGGTTTTGCTATGGATCTAGCT